AAGGAAGATAGCATGAATTGGCACCACCAAAGCAAAGACCCATGTAGACCTCCACTTGCCACAAAGTACTCAGTGACCAGAAGGGCTGAGCAGAAGTCTGAGGGAGAGCTGTGCATAATTTCCAAAGGTGATCTCGGTGCATTTGGGCATGTGGGGGTCTTTAAGAGATTAAATATAATGCATAGCTGGTGGCAGAGTTGCACAACTATGCTCCCGGGGCCTTCCCAGGGAAGAACCAGATGTTGCTAGAGCCCAGAGGACAGTAATTCTGGGCAGAGCTCAGACAGCATGGAGTCATCTAGAAAGATTACATCTCACTGTATGTTTGAGCTGGACCTGTGCCCTCCTGGAGAAGAAAGCCCAAGAGATTAGTGATGTCACAAAACACAGAGAATGGTCCTAATCCCTCTTCCCAAACCTCTGCCCCTGCCTAGGCCGTGTCACCACCTCCCTGTGCTAGGATGGGATGCTTCCCCATTTGTAAATAGCACCTCAGACCTCTGCACTTCACATGCTGCATAGCACTGTGTCCAGGGTTGACATTCTAGATGACACTGGCATCCTCACACAAGTCTGAAAGGACCTTTTCTCCAAGACACTTTCCAATGGGACATAAAGCACCTTGGTCACACCCGCTGACTCCACAGTTGATGTCCACACTGAAAACTAGCTCAGACATTCCTCATACTCCTTCCTGAGTGGAGCATAAACAGCGCTTGGGTTCATTCTACCACAGGAAATAAATCTCCTCTCTGGTGCTAGAGGGAGAGGGATCCATTAGGTTTAAGAAAAATACAAAATGGTGGAGATTGTCTTTGGGCCACAAATAACATCATCTTAATTTCTGAAGATCATGAAGTCTGCAGACAATTAGTTTTCAGGGGACTGCCTTCCTTACACTGCATTTCCTAGAAGAGCTAGGAAAGACCTCCTGACTGACTAGGGAAAGAAAAGGACTCACACTGCAAAGGCACCAACTCTGATCCCTGGCAGTGCACAGTATCCCCACCCAACTGTGGGCTGCCACTCCTTTGTATTTGATGTCTTGCCCAAGCACAAATCCATACAGAATTAGTTGTGCTTTCTGATGTTAGAACTTTTGGCATTCATATTCCTTCCAAAGATACCCCACCCTCTACCCTGAGTGCCCAGACAGAGGGACTGGAGTCTCTAGGAACTGCCCTTGCCTAGTGACTGCTGAAGCTACTAGTTTCTTCTCAGAAATCAGCCAGCCCCCAAAGGGACAGCTTAACAAACACCAGCAAAAATGAGTGGAAGGGCTCTTTCTCATCCCTCTGCAAAGAAACATTATTGAACACACACACACACACATACACACACTTGCACACACACATACGTGCACATCACATCACACAGGTTCACTTGATCTTTTGGCATGGTGTCATCACAGGGATAGGGCTATAGCTCAGTGGGTAGAGCACTTGCCTCGTATGCACAAAAACTTGGGCTTTGCCTAGAACTTTATAATCTAACCTGCAAGTTCAGTACTCTGGAGGTGGAAGCAGGAGTGTCAAAAGTTCAAAATCAGCCTGGACTACATAGCCAAGTTCAAGAACAGCCTGGGTTATATGAAAACCCTGCCAAAGGAAAGAAGGGGAAGAGAGGTAGGGTGGAGGGATGGAAAAAAGGAGAGAAGGAGGAAAAGAGAAAGAGAGAGAGAATATGAATGGACCACGATTGCGCCCTCAGGCCCTGGTCCCTTACTGGAACTAGTCTTACCTTTACCTTTAGATATCCAGTCTTAACTATGTATTTACTGAAGAATAGCCCATTAACAGACTGGCCACATTAATGACCAGTCATCTATAGAGGTACCCAGAAAGCATCCTCTAAGATCTGAACAAGGATTATTCCTATGTATCATTCAAACTCTAAATTTAGGGGCAGGGCTCGAACTTGTGTTACGCCTAAGGGTAAATCATACAGGAGGATTTGTTTTATTAATCCTAAATCTGGGATAAATTAACAAGACAAAAATTTTCTAGAGATAATGGCAATTTTTCCTTATTTTGAAGGAATGGGAAAACCATGGCGTCCTTTGAGCAAATGGGTGAGTGTGTGGAAGGACCAGCAAAGGAGGCAGCCTGGGCAAAGGCAGGATGAGGTAGGAAGATGCTCCCTGCCCCTTGCAGGAGCAAGTGTGAGCTCCTAGGTCATGCAGCCCAAAAAGCCTGAAGAAGTCCTCATCAGAGATTCCGCCCTCCTGGGCTAGCACTGCTAAAGAAAGCCAGAGTTATGGGGAGGAAATACAGCTGAGGTGGGAGCCAGGTGGCCAGAGACCTGTAGTGAGTGGGATTTAGCGGCAGTGACATGGATGGATTGAGGGTCTTTGGCAGCTCAAGTCCCTCTTGTCTGGCTTGAGCCTTATCAAGTGTGTCTCCCTCTACATGTAGGGTCAGCAGCAGAGGGCAGAGGGTGAGCAGACATGCAGAAACCTCTATCCCACGTAGGCTGTTTGTTTCAGGGTTATCTGTCGGGGATGACATCACCCTCAGGGAAGAGTCCCCTTCAGAGCAGACCACATTGAGCCTTAGTATTTGGAGCTTACTTGCTTCCTTACTCTCTTCCAGCCAACGTCAACATCCAAGGGACCTTAGGGGGTCGAGCTTACATTCAGTGGCCATCCCGTTCTCTAAGATGAAGGGTGGCCTTGCCATGTGGCTGGAGTAGAGTTATGTGGGCAGGAGTTACAGTGACAAAGCTGGGAGTGGTGTATGGACTGGAGGATGAGGGATCAATGGGACCCCCCTTGATCCTGCCTCCACCCTCACATGTGCCGATGCCCCTTCCCACCACCTCCACAATGCATCTCTCAGGCGTGTGCATGCCAGGACTCAGCAGTCATCGTGGAGAGCATTTAGATTAAGCTTCCTTACACAGTAAATGTTCTTAAAGTGCACCCCTCACCTGTTTCTACCATTAGATAAAAGAGAACACAAGTTGCAAAGCAAACTAAAGGTCATTTTCAGCCACAGCCCAGCTACATATCCCAAGTACAGCCTGCTTTATGAATCCCAGCTGCCAACGATTGGAAGGCGGATAGAATTACATACTCAGGCCTGGAAGGAGCCTGGCCCCGTTAGTCCAAGCCCTAATTAGAGCGATGAGAACACTGCGGCCCCCAGAAGGGGCGTGACCTGCCCAAGGTGAGTGGGGAGGACTGGGAGACAGCAGAGGGCCCTGCTCCCCTGGCCCCTGCAGGCTGCTCCATGTCTGATTAACTCGTAGCTGAAGGCGGAGCTGTTTCCCAGACACCTGACAAAAGTCGTTTTCAGCAAAGGGTTCTATTTAGTCCTTACACATGACCTGTGTATTTTCTCTCCTGGAATTTGATACCTCGGGAAACCTGCCAAGCTCTAGTCACTAGGGAGGGTGAGTATGTAAAATGGGGAAAGGAAACTCAGAGCAGGAAGGTGCTGGCAAATGGTTACAGGCTGGATGGATTTCTCGCCCTGCACTGGGGCCTGGCCCCTTATGCTGTGCACAGACCCAGGCTGCAGTCTGCAGGGTTTGCACACCCCATGTCGGACTCTTGACTAGCCCTGCTAAAGCAGTTCCTCTGCCATCACCGGGGACCGTTGCCTTTGCCCTCCCCGCTGGCAGCCTCAGTAGCTATTTCTCATGTTGTTTAATTGTTGTTCAAGAAGCAAATTTTCCAAACTCATCAATCAGTAAGCCTGTGTCCAGAGTGATATTAACAGCAATTATCATTGTCAAGGCTCTTTAATTTTTTTCTGAAAGATGGCTTAATCTATTACTGTGACGGATCAGGACAGAGGCCACTTATCACTCCTGAAAACTGCATGACACGTGTACAATAACAGTAAGATGTAAGGCAAGGCTTCAGCTCTGATTTACAGCCTGTCTTGCCCCCAGCTCTCATTTGTCCCTTCCTTTGTTCTTTCTACAAACGCTCCCTGGTGTGCCTCATGGGTGCTGAGCACAGAGAGCAAAGTGACCATGACAGTCTGTACTCTCCCAAGCTCACCAACAAATTGTAACAAGTAGGATGCTACAAATGCAGGTTCTGAGTCATCTGAGGCTCTAAGATCAAGAATCTACACCCTATCACATCACCGTGCATTCCCCTAGTAACAGTTATTTTCTGCATAGACCCTCCTACAAGACTTGAGCTCTGCATGGGTGCTGTCCAAGGCAGAGACAACAGATACAAAATTCAGGGAGGGTGCTCATTGTGGAGGGGACAGCTTGCTCCAGGGGAAATGGAACTTGACCATCTTTGTGAGCGCAAATGTGTATGTGGTGTGTGTGTGTGTGTGTGTGAGAGAGAGAGAGAGAGAGAGAGAGAGAGAGAGAGAGAGAGAGAGAGAGTGTGTGTGTGTGTATGCATCTATGAATGCACATGGTGGCCCAGTGTTGACTTTGGGCATCTTTCTTGAGCACTCTCCACTTACACATTGAGGTGAGTTCTCTCACTTGAACCCAGAGCTCACAACTCAGCTAGTTTGGCCTCTTGCATGCCTGCCTAGCATTTACATGAGTGCTGGGAATCCACACTATGCTCCTCATGCTTACATGGCAAGCACTTTACCAGTTAAGCTATCTCCTTATCCTCTACGTTGAGTCATCTTGAAAGACTAAGAGAAGTTGCTGAGCAGAAACAACACTAGTACCAGGAGTGTAGACAGAGGGAAACAGCAGAGTCTGATGAAAACACCCTGTGAGATGTGATCCAAAGAGCTCAGAACAAGAAGGCAAGATGTATCCCCCTCAGCCTGGACTGCAGGTACTGCATGCATGCATCAGGCTGCTGAGAGGGCATAAAGAGTTGGCACATTGGTCCTGTTAGATGACTGCTATGGGGTGAAGGGAGATGGGGGAGGGAGATGCCCAGAGGTGCTCTGCTCAGCATGGCTTCCCCATATGCTATCATCTCTGCTCCCTCACTTCCCACTCCGCCTCTAGGTCTGATAGTCTCCTCAGCAAATATTTCCATCAGAAAATAGAACGCTCATAGAGCCATTGCTATGACTGAGTTTATTTAGCAGGGTCCAGCCCCAAACTTAAAACCCAAGGAGAGCACTAATTGAGCCCCAGCACAGGGCCCAGCAGGGTTTGAGCTGGAGCCCAACCCTGCACAACCTTCTGAGGTCCCCCCCAACCTCCCCCGAGCCAGTTAATTTATTCCACAGACAATCTTCTCCCAGTCCAGAGGGAATCCAGCCTCCTGGAGGTCCTCGTAGCGGAGGATTTATCAAACCAGAGTATATGCACGGTATGAACATCAGATCCATTATCTAAGCTGTTGGTTTTAGTCGAAATGTCAAGAAATGATTTAGTATAAAATCCGTCACAAAAGCATTTATGAAAAAATCCTTTCCTGCTCTTCATCTACAAACATTTACTGCCCTGCATACAAATGTCAGCAGTTCAGCCTAATATACTTCTTCATCTATTTACTGTTCATTCCTTCTGGATAAAAGCCAAAAAAATGATGTCCCTAGGGGCTAGTGCATAGTGCAAACCAGAGAAAACGCCTCACTGCCTGATGTCATCCGAGACATCTGACGGGGCACGGGGGAGGGGGGTACACTTTGACAACAAGTCACAGCATGAAGGTCATGTCTTCTTCAGGGAGTCAAGTCCTCTTGGTGTGGAAGTTGCACTTACAGATGGAGATGACTGGAACTTTCCTGAGAAAAATAAATAAATTAAATGAGAATATGACGGGTAAGGAGATCCAAGTATGTCCAGCATGCCTTTGAGCAAATGTGTAAGAAAAGAAATCAACATGCTAGTTCCTGTCTCAGCTCACAGGCTCCAGATGACCTCATCAAAGGGTCTGGTCCATGAGCATCATGGGATGAACTCATCTCAAGTCCACCTTGTCTCCATGAGTCCAGTTCCCATGGCATCATGGAACCCTGGCATGGGGGAAGGGGTTATACACCGGGACTCCTCCCTCCCTTCACTATGAGAAAACAGAAAGAATCTGAGCAGTGTGCCGAGGTCAAACAGCTGGCTGGTGACAGAAACAGACCCAGAACCTTGAATTCATGGTTTTAGATTAAATGGATGTCATTTGGCCCTGCTGGAGGGAAACAAGAAGGGATTCCAACAGCAGAGAGAGCAGCCAAAATAAGCAAACAAATATAGGCCAGTGGAGCTCAGGGGGAGCTTGGATTTCAGAGCCTCCACCGTGAGCATCGCAAACCACATTTCACCTCCAAGTGACCCTCATCTGCTTTCTATCTCCCAAATCTACCCACGACACGTCATCCTTACAACGGGATATCGATGCCTTCATTATGGGACTCGAGTACTCTAAATTGGCAAGGCAAACATCCAGCTGTTAAGCACGCTCCAAAGAGGAGTGGGTCACTCACAGCATGCAAGCAGGCTGGGCGGGCTGTCCAGATCATATTATCCATGGAGCTTTGGCTTTTGTGTGAACATACTCTTAGGGCCAGCTTTGGAAGTGCAACAGTGAAAGGGTGAGCTTCAGCATCTACATTTGGAATATCTCTTGTTCTTGATTTGAGCAACTACCCCAAAGTGCAAGCCACCTCACCCTAAGCTTCTGAAACAGGAAGACGGGAGCACTGTGCATTCAATCATCTGAGTGCCCTTATGAGAGGTGTGTGGAGCTACGTGAGCAAAGAATTTTAAGACAATGGGATAGGGGACACATCATGTCCCTGGCCCAGAGAGCTTCCTTGAGATCCCTGCAGATGAATGGGGAAGGGAAGAGGAGGAAGGTCTAGGGTGGAGAGGAAAGCAGGAAACATGCACATCCAAGTAGGAGAAAACCCAGAACCCACTTCCTCCCCACCAGCCCCTATGTTCCTCCCTCACCAGTTATCTGAGTTTCTTATTTTCCTTCTCTTCTTGTCCTCAGTCATGAAAGCACTGCTGGTAACAGCATGGACAGACACAACAATAGAGTCACCATGGCTGATTGCAAGAAAACCTAATAGTCATTGAACACACTCTGTCTTGTGCAGGACTCTTTGCAGTAGGAGTTTACTTGGTGTTCCCAAGTAACCCTAGGAAGCACTCACAAGTTGGCCATGCCTCTCCTGCATGACACTTGTGCTATCCCATGCTTCTTCACGCTGCTTGGTCTCTGATGTCTGTCTCCACAGCCAAACCACAAGCTCAAACAGCCAGAGCCCATCTATTCTGTTCATAGCTACAGCCCAATGACCAGAAAATTCCACCTTAGAGGAGGAAAACTGAACCTCTGAAAAGCGCCAGTCAAAGTCAACCCAATCAGGACCAAACTACAGCAAAGCCAACAGCCACGCATTCACCCATTCCATACACCATCCCAGAGCCAACGTGCCACAGGCTGTCCCCCTGGTACCCTAGCCTGTACTGCATGGAAAAAAAAAGAGAAGCAAATCCTAGTTCCAATAATGGATGAGAGTCCTACCCTCCCAGGTCTGTCGTGGTTGAGAGCCCCACCCTCCCTGCCAGGTCTGCTCAGCATATAAGACATCCAGACTTAATGCCATCCCCTGCCGCTATGACTCCTGCTGCTTCTAGCCCATCTCCTCTAGACTGAGGCATCTTGCCAGGTCTGCCACAGCTCTCACTCACGTGGGGTGTTCATAGCATGAAGTACATCAGCACCACTTAAAAGGAGAAAGCTCAATTATTTAACTCTACCTAGATTTAGTTCAAATATGAGAGTTACAGTGTACATCCGAGACTTCTGGGAAATTGATTTTTCTGCTTAAGATCATTTCTTAGGGTTTAGCATGAAAATCAAATTGAGTGCAAACTGATCTCTTAGTAGATACTGAGACGTGTTTCCTTATTCTAAAGACCAGCTGAGGTGAGAGCCCTGTCTCCTCCCTAGTACCTGCCATGCGCGATTTCTAGTTTGTGCAAAACCGAGGACCCAAGACCCATTGTTACTGTGCTGCTTCAGCCTGATGAGAAATGGCCAAAGGGCTGAGAAGGACATGAAGCACCCAGTGTCTATCTCCACTGAACATCACTGGAGCTGGGAGGGTGGGATGAGGGGGCAAGCAACTTGTTTTCTATTTCTCAGCGATTGCCCAGTGGCTTCCAGCATCCCTGCCTGAAAGCAAATCAGTAGCTGAGAAGGGCCTTAAACTTCGCAGTAGAAAAAAAATGCTGTCATTTGGGAAAGCACCGTGCCAGAAAGGTGAGCCTGAGGCTCATCCCAGTGTCTGCAATTGCATGAGCTGATCATTTCAGGGAAAGACTATCTGCATAAACTGTGTGTCCGGCTCCTCAGAGGAGAAAGGCCCTATATTATTGTGCTGTCAAAGAAGTTCTAAAAAGATGGCCGCTTAGGAAATGGACTTCATGAGCTTCAGATGGAAAATCTCTGTGAGTTCTTAAGGAAGAAGGGCCATCATTGCATCATGGAGAGAGTCCCCATTCCACTCTGCTCAGAGTCCTTCATGGTGGGGTTTCCTGTGGGGAAAGCAGTATCCATGTGAGTTAGGTGCAGGCTAGAGGATCAAAGTTGCTCAAAGGCATCATGAGACAAGGTAGATCCTGCCAGCTAGGAAGAGGACTCTGAAGAGAGAATCTGATGGGGATGGAGTCCCATAGTTACACAAGGCCACTCAGTCCAGGAGCTGCTTCTCAAGACCTGAAGGTTTTCCATCTGTGAGAAGAAGCTTGTGATCCCTGTCCCATGTGGGATAAACACAGGGTGTGTCCCTGAGAAGACGCCCATCAAATAACTATGGTTATTTATGTCATTATTAATGTGCAACACAGTGCCTGGCAGATGAAAAGGACAGAAGGAAACAACCCAGCTCCCTGCCCTCCACCTGTGTTCGCCCCCATGTCTGATCCCATCAAACAGCCCAGTTAAGGCTCTAGGTAATGGATATGAGGACCTTGATCTAGGAATTTAAACATAAAGTCAGTGTTCAGGGATAATGTTCCCATAATTGTCACTCATCAAACTGAGGCAATGTGGACATGCACCGAGCTGCTCTTAGAGCAACCTTAACCAACAGAACTTTCTACAGTATCAAAGAGAGTCTGTGCTGAAACCCATGCAGCAGTCACCAGCCATTAGTGGCCTCTGAGCACTTGAAATCTGTTGAGTGCCACTAAGACAATACAAATTTTAATTTCCTTTAATTAGGTAGTTTAGGAGAATGATTGACCATTGATCCATTCTTTAGAGTCCATTTAGATAGCCACATGTATCTAGATGCTGGATTGGATATCATAGCTCTAGCAGGAGCCAGGATCTGGTATGGTGAACTGTTGGGTCTGAGACAATGTGGGTAGCAGAGGCACCATGGCCCAACACCCACCCCCTACCCCCACCACTCATTTGTTTCTCTGTTTCCTGTTTCTTCCTTCCCACAAGAGGTAGGGCTAGGCTAGCTTGAACTTCTACACAAAGAAGTCTTTGGAGATAGCAGACCACAGTCTTTGTCACAAGACCTGAAGGGCATCAAGGTTGCAGACAAAGTAACTGATGCCTAGACTGTCCTCCTCCTACTTTCTCTGGGCTGTCTGTCTGTCCCCCAGGCAAGTTCTCTAGACTTCACCCTTATGACGACTATTCCTCCTGAGCCCTCCCTATGGTCTCAGAGGCTCACAATAGGTTAGACTAGAGACAACTTTACTCACCACAGTGCCTCTGAGGGGAGCACTCTCACATGCTGAGAAAACACTCACATAAGGTAATTCGGGTGAGCGGGTGAGACAGCAAAAAGCAAGCTCGAGTGACCAGGGAGGTAGGAGGCTGCTTGTAGCCCTTTCTTAGACAGAGCGCTGGACCTTAAGTGTCTCCTAACAAGGCCAACCAGACGCCATTATCTGACTCACAATGATTATGTGTTATCAATTGTTCTGGTGACTGCATTTTGCTATAAGGGGAAAATGAGGACAAGTCTGTGTACAGAAGCCACTCATTCATGAATGGAAGAGCTGGCATGTCTATTAATTGCCTGTATTACCCACAAAAATTCACCCGATTCCAGACCTAGGACTAAGATCTCAATGAGAACTGGTTAGGGTCTATGCAGAGACAAGCAGGAGAAGAGGAGGTCACACTGCACCCAGTGTGACCTAATCTAACAGGTAGTGTCCTCATAAGAGGAGAGAACATTGGACAGAGGCTGGTAGGCAGTGATTGAGGCAGAGACTGCAGCAAAGTGGCTGGAGTAGGGGATAGATGCCATTGACAACTGATCACCAGCAACACTAGAAATTGAGAGCATAAGACAGAGGACATGTGTCCCAGCAGCAACTAGAGGCTCAGACCTCTGGACTCTGGAGCTGTGGCTCAGAGACCCCCATGATTTTAGCCATCTCAGTTCAGGTTCAGGTCAGTTTGTTCCAGCAGTCACCAAAAAGCACTACACTGACCTCAGAGGCCACCAGCTGGTCCTGGCTTGCAGGCCTCTACTTGTTTACTCTCTAGGACTTGGCACTGGCCAACATGGGAGAGGTTGTCACTGAATTCTGTGGGTTAGAGAGGAATATATGTGTAAGGACAGCCATTTGGATTCTGTAGGAAACTGCATGGGGCAAAGAGACACATGGGACATCTCTGCATTGTGACGTCTGTGTCTGTCTTTGAGCACCATCTTCAGAAAGTCCCTCCCTGGCACCTATACGTACCTTCACTTCTCCTGCTGCCCCTCAGCTCCTCCCCCGAGTCTAAGCATAGTCTACCAAGCCACCAAGTGGGGTATTTGGTCTAGATTTGTTTCTATGTCTTAGTTTATGTCCAGAATTTATTTAACACTTCATTTTTAGTTTTTGTTTTCCCACTAGCTGAAACTTGTAACTGAATCATCCTAACACATCATCAACTTTTGCAGCCTACTTGAAGCAAATTTTTTTTACAATGTCAGGGATTGGTCCTTACCCCTGGGTGACCCTGGGAGAGGGGCTGGGAACATGACAAAGAATGCCTGATTGTGTTTCTTTCCAGGCAGAGATTTTACAGATATACTCAAGGTCACTGATCAGTTGATTCTAATATAAAGAGTCTATGTGGGTCTGATCTGATCAGAACAGCCCCTCAAAACAAGGGGCTCTCCTAGGCTAGAATCAGAAGACATGAGACAGGTGGTAATAAGATTGTGGCTTGCTGAGAACAGCCCCTACTGAAAGCCATTAGGAAGGGGACTGCAGCCCCACCCCGTGTAAAACTGAGGTCTGAGAACAACCCAACAAGATACGGAAGTTGCCTCCACACCCAGATGAGAGCCCAACCCTGCTAACACCTTGACTTTGGCCTCGTTAAATCCTAAGTAAGTGTAGAGAAAATGTACTGAGTTCCTAAATTCAGCTGGACATCATGAATGCAAATTGCTTTAAACTGCAGAACTGAAGGCAATTTGTTACACAGTAAGAAAAACTAATAGGAGTCTAATATTATATAAGAAGTCCCGAATTCATAGAGAAGGGAGTCATTCCCTGCAGAAGAACATCAAGAGAGAGTTGAGGGCAGCTGATAGGGCCCAAAATAGCATGAAAAACCACTTGGGCAAACAACAGCCCAATGAAAAATGTGGGAACTGTCTGCTTTTCTACAGCCCACAAACTAAGAATGCTTACAACATTTGTAAATGGTTGAAACAATTAAAAGAAGGATAATATTTCATGACACGTGAAATTTCATATATGAAATTCAAATCTCAGTGTCCATAAATAAAGTTTTGTAGGAACACAGGCATGTTCATTTATCAAATGTTGCTGATGGAGGCTCTCTCTTGCCAGCATTTGAATTGAGTGGTTGTAGCTGAGACGGCAGCAGTAGTGAAGCGAATGAGCCCGAGGGACTTGCTCTTTTAGTCTGCTTCCTTTTCTTTTTAAAGACAGGATCTCATGTAGCTAAGGCTCTTCTCCTGTACAACCTTGCTTTACAGCTCAAGATGGCCTACAAGTCCTGATCATCTTGCTGCTGTATGTGTCCCCATGCTTGGCTTCCATCTGGCTCTTTACAGAAAAGGCTATCCCCCTGCAACCCTGTGTTCTGACATCTAAAGAAGCTCCCAAATATCACCGAAGTTCGGCGACACCACCAGCCCTTTATGTACACAGGACAGAGCGGTTTTCTGAGTGGACAACATTATGGATGTCATAGCAAACTGAGTCAGGGAGCCCCTAATATTTTCCTGTGCCATGTATAGTTCAGTCAGGTAAGTAATTCATATATGTTCACACACATCATCATCATCATTTTTTTATTTTATGTGTATATGTATATGCCTGTGTATGTGTATGTGTATGTATACCATGTGCGTGTTTGTACCCAAGGAGGCCAGAAGGGGGTGTCAGAGTCTGGATTCTGGGGAATTAATCCCAGTCTTCTGTAAGAGCAACAAGTGGTCTTAACTGCTCATCTGCCTCTCTAGTCCCCACATCTACCCTGCTGTACTACAGAAAACAAAAGGAATTTTGTGGTGTCCAAAACATAAATTATTTTTAAATTAGAAATGGTACTAGAAAAGAACACAACAGGACCTGATGTTTTGATTTTGTAGAACTGTATTCTTTTGTTGTTTATTCACTCATTATCCGGGAGACTGTTTTTGTTTTTGTTTTTATTTGTTTTGAGGCAGGGTCTCATATAACCCAGGCTGGCACTGAACTTGCAATGTAGCCTGAACTGACCTTGAACTCCTGATTCACCTTCTAAGTGCTGAGATCACAAGCATGTGCCACCACACCTGGCATTTTGGAACTTTGGCATCATACAAGGACAACCCAAAAGTCACTTCATACAAAAGATCCCATAGCTATTTGTTGGGAGCAAGAGCCCAAGAAGGAGAGGGGACCTCAGCAGAGCCCCAGATACCTAAGAGTCCACCAAAGAAACAACTGAGCAGGAAGGAGAGGGGACCTCAGCAGAGCCCCAGATACCTAAGAGTCCACCAAAGAAACAACTGAGCAGGAATGAGCACCTTAAAAAAAATGAAACTCTTTTCCAAGGGACTTAAGGAAGTCCAAGCCTCACTTCTTAAAACCCCTTATTTTCATCATTTGACCATTACCCTGGTATTGCCGAACAAAATACCCACGGGTCAGACCAGCCAGAGAGATAGGTCAGAAGTTATTTTCTTCTGTAAAGAGGCAGAAGACATTTTTAAAAAACCAGTCCAAAGAAGGAGGAGAAAGAAGTCGTGCAGAGAGGCAACACATACAGAGATGTGCTTCGCGCAAATTTTCAAATGGCTTGGTGACAGCTCTGAGAACCTGTCTGGGGATAATTTTATGGAAAAGCAGTCACAATGATATCAATTAGGAGAGCAAGAAGGATGCCTGCTCTGTCATTTCAGTGGGAGAATGGCTGTTGATTTTCCTTGGCATGCTCCCTCATAGGCACTTTGAAGGTCTCTCAGCTGAGAAGGGAAATCCACACAGTGACAGGTTCCCCACATGTTCCTCCCAGCAGTTACAACTCCATCTTTCATCCTCTACTAAGTGGGACACCCAGAACACGTGTCAGTGCCTGCTGTGCCTCCCCCAAGTCTCCCTGGAGATCCCTAAGCACAGCCCAGAATCCCTTTTCTTTTCCTCGGCTTCCTCATCCATACGGTGGGAATGAAGCCTAACCTTGCCTTCTTCTCTGAGCTTGGCCAAAGGAAGGCTGGCAAACCAGACTGAGGCACAAATCAGGAAGGTCCCATGGGTCTCTGAGTTGCTACGGAAAGGCAAGTTAGGTTAGAGAGCACTTCTGTGTGCTACAGTCACTCACAGTCACTGAAAATACATTTGTTACATGAAAGGTGGGGGCTTAGTGTAGTTCTCATACAGCCAGACCAAGAATTTTTTCTAGCCACCAGTACCCAAGGAAAAAGTGAACCATCAAGAACCTGACTCTACAGCTATATCAAATCAGAAAACACCCACAAATCAAGAAAGTTACACTGGCATATTCCCCAAGAGAGAACAAGGTAGAATTTTTCTGGGGGGACAAATGTGCTTCTCAGGCCCATTAGTGCTAGAAGGCCTGCCTATGGTCTTCGCTTCTTGTAGCAGTATTCAGGCTTGCCGGCAAATTGAAACTCTTACTGGCAAAAGCCAGAGTCTTCACTGGTAAGTGCTATTGTGAACTTGTGGGGGCTAATAAGCTATGAATAGAGATGTTTTAAATGTATTAAACATCGGTTCCCCCCTCCTTTTTTGTTCCCCAAGATTACACTGACAGAGCCTTCCTTAAACATTATTTGAATAAAGCCTCATTACTCACAGTCCAAAGAAGTTCATTAGGAAGAGATGGCTTTGGAAAGGAATCAAGAAGCTTGCCTTTCTTCTCAGCAGTGAATTACATTAGCTACTTCCCAGTTATTTAAACCTTGAAATAAAAGATGTAAACGCCGCAGTGACATCTTAAGATCATTGCGGAGGCCGGTCTTGCATGCACAAAAATGCCCAGCTGGTCTACAGATAAAACAGATTGATAATTAGTTGCAAAATGTAACATTTCATCAAGAATATTTTGAATAATCCAATTTATCTTTGTCAGATATGCAGCACATATTTTTCTGGGGAGCAGCTTTGTTCTTTAACATAATATTATAATTTCAGGCTGCTAATGAAGGCGCCCGCCGGCCGGCCCGGCCTTGATGTGTGGCGTGGCAGGGAGCGCACCGCGGCCCGGGGACCGGTGCGCCTGTGCGCACCGCGCCCCGCTGCCGCCACCTGCCCGCTGCAGTGTGGGCTGCGAGCTGCGGGCCTGGGGCCGCGGGCGATCAAAGGGCCGGCGGGCAGCGGGGAGGGCGCCCCTGGCGGGCAGAGCGCGCGGTGGCGGGCGGGGGGCTCCGCCAACTTGGCTTCTAATTAACCGAGGGAAAGGCACCCTGACAGCCCGGGTGGTGATCACAGAGGCAGGCATAGTTTGGTGCAAGCTAGCAGGACCTGGGGCTGCCCCTGCTGGGGCCTACTTGAAGAGGGAGGGGCAAGGACGGTTTGCCATTCACAGGACTTGCTGCAGCTTGCTGCAGATACAGCCATCATGAATTCCCAATGACTTGGTGCAGCCTAGGGCCCATGTGCTGGTCCAGTCTTTGAGGCATCGAGCAGTTTCTAACTCCTCGTGATGCCTGCTTGAAATCCTAGACACTTTGCATCTCGGAGGAGAGAGAGAAAAAGAGCAGCTGTGCTCCCTTGTGGAGACCCAGGCCTGTGCAAGAGGGAGTCTCCTCTTACCTGTAACAGACCCCACCGCTATTCTAGAGACCTTGACTGGGATGCCCAGAATTATGAACCTAGACAGGCCTTTCTCCAGGAATCATATTTCCCACAATCCCACCAATGCGGCCAGGGGCCAGGGCTGGACAGAGGGTGGGTGTTGACTCTGTTTGAAAGCCCCTTTCCAAAAGAGGCTTGAAACTTGACAAGGCAAAGCAAACCCTCCTCCTAAGAACATCCTTGCTTACATTAGTGCAAATGGACACAGGGTACACTCTATGTGTGCAAAACTTTTATGTCACTTAAGAGTCACCATTTTAACTGTGCCAGAGCAAGCTTGTCGCAGTTTGGCAATACTTCATATTTTCAACCTTGCACTAAAACTGAAGTCTCAAAGCTCAGAAATTAGTCGGTAACTTGTTCTGATACCAAACCTCCCCTGAGCAGTGTGCGGTGGGTATTCATTAGTGTGCCTTGTCTCTGGTCCCTTTGGTCTTCAGCCAGTCCAGAGGAGACCTAGCCCATGCCCTTGGGGTGGGTCATTGTGGGGGGCTAGAACCAGTTACAGTGACTAAAAATATGATGTCTCATGCAGCTGTTGGTTCGTGCATGAGACTCAACATGAGCTGAGAAATTCTTCAGATTTCAGCTTGAGTCTGAGAAGGGAGGAAACCTTCACCACGGTTTGCTTGTATGTGAGCGGCAAAGAGACCTGACCACTAAGGACCTGCAGAATAGGAGACCTGTGTGCCTGCTGTTCCTTTGCTCTTTGTAGTGATGGAGCCGCTGCTTTTGTGTTGTTGCAGGATGTTAAAAGCCTGCTCTGTGGGTTTCTAGATCCCATGTTGGGGAATGAGTCATCCCAACCAGGTACAACTCAACAGTGCAGGGAGAGTGAGGCCTTGCAGATGCTTCAAATTAGAACCCATATCAGTAACATCTGGATGGGTCACTGCAACCAGGGGAGCATTTGTCCCTCTCTTTCTGTAGCCTGTGAATGCACACTGGCATCTCTATGACCATGGGACCTGGTACACAGGGAAGGTCTGATTCCTGTCCCAGCGTGAGTTTGAATAGCCAAGTGAGCACTGAGCAGAAATAAGCTTCCCTTCTCTGAGTGAATGCATGTGTGCATGTACACACATGCATATACACAAACACACACATGTGTGCACGCACACACACACACAGAGAAGGAGAGAGAGACAGACAGAGAGAGGGGGTACAAGCACACACAGGCATGTGTGCCTAAGGTAGGATTTGACCCATTTTGACTCTCCTTTCTGTAAATGTCAACTGTGTCCCTAAGTCAAAGATCTCTTCTACAGCTCTTTGGGATCCCAGTGACCCCCCTGTCTCCTACATTGTACCTTCTTATTGGGTCCCAGAGCAAAATGGGGTTAGGGTTAGATAAATGAAGCCATGTGGTGTGACTAGGATATGGTTTGTCCCTGCCAAAATTCACATCGAGGCCTAACTCCCCAGTGTAACTGCATGAGGCAAAGATGCCCTTCAGATGTATTTCGGTTCATGAATTAAGGGACCTTCCCTCATGATGGATTAAGGAGTCTCTTTAGAGATAGGGTTAGTTCTTTTAAGACTGAATAAAAATGGACTGTTATAGAGTGTGGCTTCCTCTACTGGCCCTCTTTCTTACTTCTCTTACCATACTCTGTGTGTGTGTGTGTGTGTGTGTGTGTGTGTGTGTGTGTGTGTGTGTGTGTGTTTATTTCCCTCCACTGGCCCTCTTTGCTACTCCCTTTCTTGCCATATTTCCTGTCACAAAATCACATACCACCACCACCACCACCATCATACCTGGTTTTCACATGGATGCTGGGGATTTGAACTCAGGTCCTCATACTTGTGCATTAAGCATTTTACTCACTGAGCCAGCTCCCCAGCATTAACACTTTTTTTAAAAATGTAAACTAAGATGAAAATATTATTTTTCTGGGATCCCAAGAAAGTTTTACTGGAGATCTTAAAAAATCTAATATGAGCATACTAAATCAATTTTTGGGTTAGTGATTGTTTCTATGTTTTCCTTTTTAGGCACAAATTTCCTCCAAGATGATGGGATGAGTTAATGCACCTCTGTCAGGGCCCTGCAAACCTATGTGGGTGAACTAATGAATCTCTAGAATCCCTCCCACTGAGTATGGGAATGCCTCAAGTGTGGCCACTGATGGACCTCCCTCAGATGTAAAGTGGTGAACTGTCAAGTGCCTTGAATCTCTCCTTCAGAGTTGCCCTGCCCTTAGGATCACACTGCCTTTATGGCAAAGACCCTGCAATTAGTCAATAACATTAGCAGATCTCAAGAGAAATCAGAGGAGAGGCTGGTGAAGGTTGAAGGTCCCTCAAAAGCTTTGGAAAAGTTCAGCAATAAAAGTTGTATGAGTGATCATGCAGGAGGACTCTGAAACTCCCTCCTCTGCACCATGCCACAGGGACTCCTTGTTGACGGTGTCCTCTCCTTCTTGTCCTTCAGGTAAAATCTTATTTAGTCCTCGAGTTCTAAACCAGATTTTTGCACTGCTGGGTGACTTCTTCCTGTTCACCCCAAAGAAAGTTACATGGTGGGGGGTGCTCCCCTGTGCACAAGCAAACATCAACTAGGTGTCATCTCAGACAAGTAGGTGTCTGTGTGTCTCGTGAGCTAGATTGCTGTGCTTCACGGAGATGAGGGAAAGCATGCGTTACAGTGGCATCCCCAGCACCTGCAATCACCACAAGCAGGTGGATGAGGCCCCCAAATTTGCTAGGTGGAAGAAATATGGGATAGAAGGGAGAAGAAGGAAAGGGAAAAGAGGGGATCACGTGTATGTGTGTGTATGTGTGTCTGTCTGTCTGTCTGTCTATCTGTCTGTCCTTCTCTGTATTTGTATGCACATGTACATGTTAGAACCCACAGAGGCCAGAAGAAGGTGTTAGATCCCCTGAAACCGGAGTTACAGACAACTATGAGGCACCCAATGTGAGTACTCAAAACTAAATTCTGGTCCTCTAGTTGTGCAACAAGAGAGTCTTTAGCCACTGACCCATCCCTCTGCCCAGGTCTATGTCATGCTCGCTAGTCCATGACTCAGGGGAGCTTTTATATTAATGTTTAAGTCTTTAACTTTATTAGAGACAAGATTGAATAAAATGTGGTTATATTTTTAAAGATTTATCTAAGTATATAGGTGTTTGCCTGCATGTATGTCTGAGCACCACATGACTGCAGAGCCCATGGATGCCAGAAGATGGTGTCAGATCCCTCGGGACTATAGATGCAGGTGGTTGTGAATTACCATGTGTGTGCTGAGCAGGGACAAGTTCCCTTGGCCAATGAGCCCCAAATTTCAGTTATAAGATGAAAATATTTTACACTTTTCTGTCCCTCATGCCCAACTACACAATATTTAAAAGCTAAACCCAAATACCCAAGTTTGAAGCTATAAGAATGTGGGACACTAACCCTACTAGGGACAAGGAAAGAGCTTGGGCAACTGAGCATAGATAGAAAAAGTGGGGGTCTTATCTGGGCCCTAAATTCAGAAACCAATGAGAAGAGAGGACAGTATCACAGTAAGCAGATGCTAGGGGAATGGATGGGACAATATATGAGCACTCATACCACAGTGCCCAGCCAGGGAGCAGAGACAAGGAAGGACCCAGTGGGCCAGCACTGATCATAGACATCTGGGCAACAGACTGGCTTCAGTGTGGGCTGATAGCTCTAGGACTCATCTCCTTCCCCTAGGCTCTCTTCAGCCCCAGGGAAGTTGAGATGCTCTCAATACTTAACAGACAGCTCAGACCTAACTGCTTCCACTTCTCCATTGCCCTCCAAGGACCTCTAGAGTGAGGGTTTTCTCTCCTCCAAACTCTTGTGGTTTTCCTTTCACTGTGCAAACCATGACTGGTAATTTTCTGTGCTACCCTCCTGAAGCTACTTCCCAACTCTCCCAGTCAACTGTGAATTCAAAATGGGGAGAGACCACATTTCCTCCCCAGTGTGTGCACACAGTAGGGGGTTAGGAATGTCAAGAGGAAGGTGCATGTCTGTGCTACTGGCATCTTGCTCAGCTCTCTGGGCTGAGATGAATGGGAAAGCCCCAGAGAAGCAAAGGCAGCATGGGGGTTGCTGGTAACCTCCATTCTAGGATTGAGACTCCAAGGCAGAAAGCTCAACTTCCTCACAAGCAAATGATTCCAACTAATCCTCGACCATACTTTCCTACACACCGCTTGGCA